TTTTCGGGAAAAAAAGAGTTTTTAAAAAAAAAAAAAAAAAAAAAAAAAAAGCCCACAACTCAGGGTAATTCCTGTCAAGGTTTAATTTGGGCTCAAGTAATTGAGGCTCCTTCTATTAAACAAAATTAAAAATCCCAGAGTTCAACACAGTAAATTTAAAAAGGACAGAGATAAATTTTCCTGCCCTAGAAACACAGCCCTCAGGCTCCCTAACTATTTGCTACAATATTCCTCAGCTGGCAAAATGGAAAGCTGGCAGCCACCCAAGGTATTCAGACAAAGCATTGTAATTAGAAGCTACTTAGGGCACCATGAACCAAAATGTATGCTAATAAAAACATCATTAACTATCTTGTGAAGAGACTCCTCTTAGGGGAGGGAATCTTTGCTAACAATAACATAATTGTCGTGCATTTAAGTCCTGAACTCCACAGCAACAATTTAAAGCTGATGGGGGAAAAGTGAGATAGGGAAAAAAGTGACATTTGGAAAACAGTCAGGTGGAGGGAAAGTGACTCTGAGAAACAGAATAAAGCCAGCTTGTCTGACAGCACACCAACACAAAGCAACTGGGCCTGCAGAGACCAGTACTTAGGAACAGAAAAGCAGGGGGATTTTCTTAAGTGTGCTGCCAGTTTCAGGTTCTCCCTACCCAAAAAAGGGAAAAGAAGACATAAGATAAAAGGATTAAGAAGCTCTCTCCTTTTGTAATCAAGTACAATGTGAATTTTCCACAGCAAGAACTGCTGGAGAGCCACGTGCCCCTCTCCAGAGTCTCCTCCGGGAAGGACAACGAGCATTCGCTCCCACCAAGGCTATGGTAGAAACGCTTTTGATCTCCATTTTCTGCTGCATTATTGTCACTCTGCAGAAGTAACATTTGCTTATTATTTCCCACAAAATGGCAATTCTGCTTCCTTCTCTACTCTGCCCACAATTCCAAGTTTCCTGACACAAAGGAAATAAAATATTATATCTATTATCCATACGAATCAGAAGTTATCTGTTCTCCATGACCGACCTCTAACTGGCTGGCCTGTAAAATAAGGTTCTTCAGCTAACTCAGGTGTTCCTACAAGCTTTTAAACCCAACAATGACCAGCATTTCCGAAGGCTCACAACGGTACAGGTGGCTATCTGAAAGTTGATTTAACGCCTCAAGGGGGTGCTGAGTGCTTCCAGCTGGCTTCTCTGAGCACCCAGGACAGGGCTCCTTTCCAGAAGCAGCCACACGAACTTCCCATTTCTCCCAGCTGACTGAAGGCGGCGAGGAGGGCACACTGGTTCTCAAAGAGCATTGCTTAAACAATATCCTAGCTTGCGACTAGGATATTTAAGAGTGGTTTCTCTACACTCTCCAGGCTGGCAGTTTCCCAGTGTTGCCCAGAGAAACTCACGAAAAAGGAGAAACTCATGAACGAGGAGCGCAGAAGTGCCACTGCTGTTGTTTCTGCCTGCCCACTCTACCACGGTTAAGGTTTGAACTTAACTTCCATGGCATAAGTAAGGCTTCAGTTAAATCTCACCCAGGGCTCTTCTGCTGTGAAGGCTCCACATCCACACGTAGACGTAGCAACAGCTGGCACAGCTGGGGAAGCATAGAGCGTCCTGACTCCAGAATAAGCACATGCAAGTCCTACGCTTGGCCTTGCGTTTAGGAGAATGAAGCCAAACAGAGGCAATGTTGAAAGAGCAGGAAGTCCTAAACACTGCTATGAGCAGTATAGACAATAGGTGCATTGATGAAACTTCCAGACTTCAGCAGTGGAACATAAAGCCTCAACAAAAATCGCAGAGAACAAGGGAAGGACAACAGCTCTCAAAGCAGAAACACCACTGACAAGACATCTATTAGTACACTATGAAAAACAGAAATAGGCCCAGAGGCTGGGGTAGGCTGGAAGCTTTGGGTCATCGCTGTTGTTCAGAGGATAATGAGAAAGAAATTAACAGGGGAAGACATTTGATCTTGAATAGCAGATCAGAAGGAACAACACAAAAAAAAGTAACCAAAATCCCAGGTACAAATTAAAGTGAATAAGCTATTGAGAAGCGTCATGTGTTTAGCTGTAAAATGGGGATGTTGTAGGACAGAGAATGACCTGGAACAGTATGGACCTCACCTTGGGAAACTTGTCTGCCTCCGTAGCTAGAACTCAACACTCATCAACTTTGTTTACTCTATCACCCCAGTTACCTAGGGTCCTAGTGAAGAATTGGGGATACACTGTGCAAACACAGAAGAAAAAGATGGTCCCTGGCTTAAAGAGGTTATAATTCACGATTACACATGACAACCTGTAACATAACTTATCTGTAACAGATTCTGAGCAATTTAACAAGGTTTGTGGTGGTCACTGCTCATCATTGTTGGACACAAAAAAAAAGGAAAGCAGATGTTTGAAAAATGATGAACTTAAAAAAAAATTGAGAGGAAACATAAGGGACTAGATGGGAAGGATGGATTTTGTGTCCAAGAGTCAGAGCTCAGTCACGGACTTCCTTCCTCAAATGAGGCACCATTTAGTTCAGTAAATATGACTTTGTTAATATTCACCTACTTAAAAAAAAAAGCTTTGAGAGTCTTAAGACTATGTGGGAAAATAGATTAATACTTATATCTAAATGTCAAGAACTGAGTTTGGTATACTAAAGAGCTAAAAGGGAAAAAAAAAAAAAAGAAAGCAGAGCAGGGCAGCGGAAGGAAGAGAGCGAGAGAGAGAGTAAGCAAGGAAACTCAAACCATGGGAAAGAAAACTGAATCTTTGCTACCTCTTGCAATAATTAGTCAGTTATCAGCTCCAAACCATGCAGAAATGGAACAAACAAGATTCAAGGGAAGGAATTATGCTATACTTCAAATATGTTTTTCAAGATCCGTTTTCCCATCATAAATAACATACTGAATTGCTAAGAGTCAACAGATTTCATCAGGGCCACTTTACATCATGCTGCTTATCGTAAATAAAAGCACAAGCACTTCCTGCACTTAACAGCAAAAATCTTCATTGCCTGCAATTCACGTACAAGGTATGGAGAATACAGTGGGATGTATCAGGACTTGACATTATAGCCTGTGTAAGCATCTCTTTTTACCCCAACCTAACATGAGCATAGCTACGTTTTTCTATGAACAGGAACAGTGCAATTTCACAAGAAAGTCTGAAGATATTTTAAAACGCGTGCATGGGTTTTTCCACTTCCTTCAAACTTCTCAAGATAAATGTGGGCATGCATTAAGAGAACTCTACAGTTCTACAGCCTATTACTGCATACTACTGCCACTGAGGCTATTAAAAGAAACGAATGACCAACCAGGCTTACACAGAGTCAATATGAACTAATGCCCACAAACTCCGTTATGGCTTTTTTGAAAAGCCAAAGGAAAAGCTACTTAATTTGAGCAATTCACTTCACACACTTGAAAAATCAAGATGAAAACCCTAAGTGGTTCAGGTTGCTGGTGCTTATTTCCAAAATAATAACAGCAGACACAACCCGTGCCCATATTCAATGTCCCAACGCAGGAAAACCCTGGAGTCACCACCTAAGTTCAGAACACCTGCCAGCCCACGGGATGGAAGTCAAGTGCATTCCAAGACCAATGAAAACTGCCACATGTAAACCTGATGAAACCAGAGAGGAGCTGTAGACTGCTTGGGCGCTGCCCGAGCTGTCTTGAGGAAAGTGGCTGACAATTCACACCAGGATTTTTTTTTTTTTTCAGGTAAGTGCTGTGGTCAGCCTGCCTCTGCATTTTCCCCACCTGTGAAATGGGAACCTATACACATGGTGATGGCTGACCACCTGCTTCGCAGAGCCTTGCAAAGATTCAGTAGGTTTATACTTACGGAGTCTTCTGAAGATGAAAGGTTTAGAAAAAGTATGCCAACACATTAAAAGAGACCAGGATAACAAAGACAAAATGCAAAGTAATACTCACTCTTT